AAACAGGTGCCATTAATACAGTTAACAAGTGGAGGACAGAGGAGGCTCTTAAAGAAGAAGTTACAGGTCTGTGAGAGCCAGAAATCTTTTTTTGTTTGTAGGTGACCAAATACTTATTTTACCGAGGAATTTACTAATTAATTCATTAAAAAAATCCTACAATGTGATTTTCTGGATTTTTTTTTTCTCATTTTGTCTCTCATAGTTGAAGTGTACCTAGGATGAAAATGAAAGGCCTCTCATCTTTTTAAGTGGGAGAACTTGCACAATTGGTGGCTGACTAAATACTTTTTTGCCCCGCTCTATATGATATACATATTTGTATTTTTATAGTCGGGATTGTTGGAAACGGTATTTCGATCTTTCGAACTGAAAGATGGACAATAAAGTTGACTTTGATATATAAAATGATATCTTGTAAGACAGTACATTGTAAATTCCCCATTCATGTTAAGTGCATTTAACTTAAATAATAATCCGTTATAGAATCAATGACAGAAACAAATTGGCTATGAGTTCTACATCAAAATTGCCACAAAAAAAGCGATAGTCACTAAAGCAGTAGTTGAGCAAACAACCAGAGCTGTTACTGTGGCTGACGTGACCCTGTGCATGAGGTCACTGTAGAGCAGCAGGGAAGAAACTGTCTCTTTTTTTCCTCTACCCCGAGTCAGAGTGTTGCTCTGAGTGGTCGTCTGAGTGTTGGACACCCGAGTGTGATCATTAGAGAAGATGGACAAGTTTTTTCCTGGCTGCCCATGTGGGACTACTAAACTGGCACACGAGAGACACAGTTATCAACCAGGGAGACTAAAAAACGAAAGCGTGTCAAACTAATTTAAGAAATCAATATCCTATCTTGTGAGACTTCTAACACAAGAAAGACTCATAGCTCTGGGACATATAAAAACACTGAATCTGAAAAAAAAGCCCATCAGTATAAATGGCCCCGTTTTACCAAAGGTAGTAAACCTGACAGTGTGTTCGCAACTTCGCATGCATGTGGGTGATTTGCAGGTTTCTGCTGGTTGTTTTGAGTTGCATTGATGGAAACTCACCCTAAAGTCAATGCCCACAGTGGAGATGAAGCTGCCAGCCAGGAAAGCGCCGTCCTTAAAACGAACTAGAAGACATGTTTTCCCCACACCGGAGTCTCCAACCAGCATCACCTGGACAGGAATACAAGAGGGAACAACTCAAGACAGGTTTCACTGGAGGGCTAAACTAAGAAGCACATCAAAAGTAAAACTAGGGAGTGTGAGGGATAGAACTACGAGGTAAATCAGCCGAAACACCATGTAGGAGCCTTAACAGCAGGGAGACGTTGCTTATGTTTAATTTGATATCAGTGTCTGGTTGTTTGTCCTCAGAAAAAACAGGACATTTGAATCATTCAGCTAAATTAGTCCTGGTATTCTGGTGCCTATCCAGTGAAGAGGGTGTATGTGAATGCATGTGTGACTGCTTATATTGGCTACCAGTGGATGTCCTTTCTGTCAGTGTGTTAATGTATACAGCCATCATAAGTATCTTATCGTGTGTGCGCACATAAAAAACCGACTTGAGCCTCATTCCTTCTCTTTTCATTCTGAGCTGTGATGAAGTTAACGGTTTGATGTGATTACGGTTATCAGGTTAGCTGAGGGACTGTGATGTCCTAGACCCTGGAAATCAAAAAGCGCCTCCTGGGTGCACAGAGGAAGGATAGAGGAGATGAAAGACAAGGAAAATGAATGACAGGATGTAACTGGGCCAGATACTAAATATGGATAACATGTTTGAAGATGCATCCCCATTCTCCATATTTAAACTTTTCCTGGATTAATCTATCGCTTTTTCTTCTTTCTTCAAAGCCTTCTGCATGAAACAGCTCTACATTGGCTACATGTTTGCAGTAGTGTTCAGGCACCAGATTTTTCCTTGCACTAAGGTTGTCTAAATAAAATGCGATCTTCTCCCTGACCAAAGCAGAATAAATCCTGTTTAATGGCAATTTTAAATCAGTAAGATGCACAGTAATCTCTGCAAATCTCTAATTGTAATAGGTAGACTAACCGCTACAACTCTTTTGAACTAGCCTTGAAGCATCAAACTAAACGTTATATTTAGATAATGATTTGAAGTGTACAATAGTTGGATTTCGATATGCTACAGATCACAGAACTAAATCAAGTTATAGTTTGTGTGTAGCAGTACATCTTGTTTCAGCCCAGGTAAACACTGGAGAAAGCTGCTTTTCCTTCAATTGTTATTTTCTAGCTGCAATGGTGTTGAATGGAGACGTGGTAGTCCCAACACCAAACAAATATAGCTAATTAAATATGAATATATACAGTTCCGAGTGGCTTGGATTGAACAATCAATCCAATTGTTCTGTGAAAAAGAGCAACACAAAGGCATCATGCACTAACATCAAACAGCTGCTTCAAAACACAGAGTAGGTGGCACAGGTCCCTTGAAGTGATGCCGAGAGTACACTGAGCATCTGTGTGTGAATCTGTGCTTGTGTTACAACGAGGTGAGGTGACAGTTGTCTACTCACAATATGGTTAGGTAAAGCACACAACTCGCTCACTGTAAACGCAATCCCAGAGGGTGCTGCTGACAGAAACAAACATGCATTCAAACAGTTGATTTGTTTGTAGGCTTGTGCAAGGATATATGCACCTTTCCAGGTTATCGATCGACCATTGACACAGCTGGTGTCAGGAGCACGCTGCAGTTTAATGAATGAAGGTTGTAAAACGAGAGACAATGAAAGCTTAAAAAGAAAACGACACTGGCAATGAATAAAGTAGACCACAAACCCACTTAGTAATTGCCACTTTCTTCACTACATATATTCTCGCCCTAAAAAAGGGAAACAAAAGCCTAAAAGTGTCCATATGATTTGTAATATCAACGACTTCTATGGCCTGTTCTTGGTATCAAGTTGTTTTGGTCATTAATGATAGAAATTAGAGCCCACTTTTGTGAGTTGTATTTGTTTGTGCATTTACTGAACAGCAGGCATCCTACCTTGAAAGCGATGTCGTAGAACTCGCTGCTGTTGCTGATGGACGGTCTGCTGGGATGGACCACGCCGTTCATCTGAACAATTCCCGGGCTGCTCCTCACGGTCTTCCCGGCCCCTTTCCCGGCGGGGCTGCCCGCTGACGGGCTGCTTGTCACGGCTTTACCTTTGGCGGACTTCTTGCGAGACATTTATCAAGATTTTAAAACTATCTCTGTGAACCTTAACCAAAGAAAACTAAACAAATCCTCACGAGGACTTGAAAGTAGTAGCAGCGAAGAACTTGTAGAGTGCAATTAGCAGATGGGTTTCACCTGCGCGTTGACAGCATGTTCCTAGACACCTCCTCTACTCAGAGCAGCAGTGAAATTATTCCGAAATGCAAAAACGCTTCCGTTGTTCAGCTGCTTCCTGTTGCTGACAGCCTCCTCTCTTCAGGACAACAGCTTCGGTACTGCGCCTTGTAGATGGTGATGGAGCAGAAAACTCCACCTTGTGCGCACAACTATCAGGACACAGGGGCTCTGCACTTTGCACTGATTAAGGCTCCAATGCGCCTGTTCAGAAAAGCCACAACTCTTCAACCACCAGAGATCACATTGATTCAAGTACTGTACTTGAGTAACATTTTGAGATACTTGTACTTTACTTGAGTATTTCCATGTTGTGCTACTTTGTACTTTTACTCCACTACATTTATTTTGTACCTTTAGCTTTACTTTTACCACTTAGTAAATTAAACAGCTCCCCTGCAGTATACAAAGTGATTAAAACTAGCTGTACCTTTACCAGCTTTGATAAACACATTAATGCATCAATAATTATAAGAAAAACATATTGTATATTATTCTGAAATAGGCAATCTGCATAATAAGTATTTTTACGTATGGTAGCCTACTTTACGTATGGTATATTTTGATGCCAATACTTTTGTACTTTCACTTGAGTAGCTTTTTGAATGCAGGACTTTTACTTGTAACAGAGTATTCCTACACTCCTATACTTCTACTTTAACTCAAGTACAATATGAGTACTTCTCCCACCTCTTCCACCCACTCACTATAGTCCTCAAAAATAAATATTATGGGGCTATTGTAGAAACTTTCAACACATATTATCTGTTAGCAAGGTATCAGCATGACTTGTTTGGGTCAGAACTATTTTTCTTCCTCATGACATATTTTACATTATTTTCATTGATATTGTCTTGCAAGAATCAGTTGTATACAAATCAAGCCAGTGTATTCTCTTCACAATGAGGTGCATATGTTATATTCAGAGTGACCTCATAGTTATCCTTCCTCTAATTGATTAAAGGCTTTATTTAATTAGTATGAACATTATTTACGTACTGGAGAGAGAAACAACCTGCTGCCACCTGTCGAAGATGCTTGGGATGTGATTTCAGTCATGCACCACAAGAGGGAGACTTAAGAATATGAGATAGAAAACAGATAAAACAAGGCAGTACGGCAGAGAGAAAGTTCAAGTTAGTTTCGGTTGTCCCCGGCCTGAACTACAAAATACTGATATTATACAAATTAAAAGGGCTAAATCAAAACACGCCTGTAATTATGTCTATTAGATGCATATTGGACTATTTTGATTGAGTATACACTCTGTCTTTATCATTAGTGGTAGGCCTCTGTTTAGGCAACTTCCTCCAGCCTCCACCAACAGATTGATCAGAGCAGAGCAGTCACCAGCCTCTCAGACACTCTTACCAAGTCCAACACCCATTATAAATCCTAACGTAATACAAAAGTATGACATGGAGTATGCCAATCTTTAGCATGGTACACATATTTTTTATAATTGCAACAAAGGGCGACTGCCGCTTATTCTGTTGGATCCTGATCCTCTGTGGACAGTAACACAAGGCTGATTTCCTCCTTGCTCTGTGATCTAGTTTGTTATGAAAGAGATATTTGTGTATCCAGACTAAAGACTTTTCTTTTTGCCGCTGCTTTTAATTGAACTATTCACATCTTAAACTGCACTGTAACTTTTATCCGTGTATTTTTTATTTTATTATCTTTTCTTTTTAATGACTGATTTTAAATGCCATTTTCTTAATGTCTTTCATTTTTTGTAAAGCACTTTGAATTGCCTTGTGTTGAAAGGTGCTATATAAATAAACTTGCCTTGCCTATAGTATATTTGCCTTTCTGATCAAGGACCAGGCTTTCCAGACTCAGTAGATGCTCTTATAGGATTTGGCAACTGATCCTTATGTGGTAAACATTTATGGTAGTAAACCTTTGATAAACGTTATATCTCGTTCATTCTCCAGCTGCCAAACATTGTGATTTGCAGTTCTACAGACATTTTGGGGACATCACTTATACGACCCCAGATGTCAATTGCAGTGTTTCCTAGCAGTTCTGGTTGTAAACACATAGACAGCTGTAGCCTCTGGTTTCTGTCCCTAAATCTGCTATCTGTCAGCGTTTTTCCACACTCCACCCAACTCAGGGCATGTATGGAGTGAAGTGTCATTGGTTTCAGGGAATATCAACCCCCAAATCCACCAACCCCCCCTTGTACAACTCCCCTCAACAGCTGAGATTCGTTCTACCCCTAAAGCAGCTGTCTACTGTGGCAACAGCTGGGCATTTTGGAGGGAAGAGTGGACGTGGATAGAGAAAGCCGTTGGAATCCATCCCTGGTTTCAGAGAGAAATTAACAGCCTTGTCAAAATGAGTTAAATATGGTTGATGCGTTTACTGTACATTGCGAGGCTATAATCTGTACTTGTGTACCATATGCTTGTGTGTGTCGGTGCCAACAAGCATACGGCAGCAGCGCTCGCAAATATTACAGCCTATGAATATTAACTACAGGGGCAGTTGAGCAAGTTTAGCAGTTGAGCTAATTAAGGAAATGTACTTTTGATTTTGCAAAGGCTCACAAGGCAGTGATCAAATAACATTACATTACATGTCACTTGTTAGACGCTTTTATCCAAAGCGACTTACATACTCAATACTGTGGGCAATCCCCACAGGAGCAATTTGGGGTGAAGTGTCTTGCCCAGGGACACAACAACACAAGCCAAAAATAAATAAAACATTTCCAGTGTCATGCAATGCAAATCTAATCATTGTTGACATATTGAACATGTTAATCAGGAGTAAATTAAAGCACTCATTCCTGGGTGCAATGTTTTTCCTCAGGTGCTTAGAAAAAACATTGTGAGTGGGAACATGGCTAGAAGTGTGTGACTAATTCAGTGGGGTCATAACACCCTCAGGGTCACATCAATCTGCGGGTGCTCCCAAAGGCCAGGCATTTGTCAGTTTACCCAGGGTCAGGTGCCATGAATTTGGGCTGGGTGGCGTGCAGCAGCCCGGCCAGTCGCTCAACCAAAGTCTCAGCAACTGTTGGTGTGTTGGCCGGCCGCTCTTTCTCTCAGCTGCCTGCGACCGAGCGCCGTGAGGAGGGGCCGGGGGCATCCTGCCAGCCGGCGCCCTGTTTGTCAGGCCTTGGCGAGAGAGGAACCAGTGGACTGGTACTGCCTGGCACTTCCCGAGGCATCTTAAATGAGAGAAACAGAGTATGTGTGTGTGTTAGTGTGTGAGATGGAGAGGAAAATGGGTGGCATGCATGCTGCTTGTTTAGAGTGTGCTGGTAAGAAATGGTAAGAGTGTAGTTACAATATACAAAATACTTTGCTTTTGTTATTTAAGGTATTTGTTGTATTCATATCTTCCACTTTAATTTCATAATCCTGACTCTCATCACATATTTTATTCACATATATTATATGCAAAAAAAAGTTACAAAAAACATAATCTGACCGATAATTACCCTAACCACTGAATTCATTTTGATGCAGTAAAGTGGGATTTGCAACCTTTATTTAAACAATATGACCCCTTCAAGCATAGCTTATATATTTTAGGGGTTAGCATTTGCAAACTTCCAAAAAATATACAATTATTCCATATTTCACTTTAAACATGGTTTGAATTTGTATTTATTGTATATAATGATTTTTGAACATGTCTGTGCTTCCAAACTTCCATCCTTAGAGACGTCAATGCATTGATTTAAATGTTGTCCTCGTTCTGCAACAGTTGATACCTCTTGATACCTTAGCTAATACAGGTACAAGAGGAAAACAGAGAGAAATGAGCCATTGCAAAAATAAATGTGTTTTGATGGCTCAAAATTAACTTGGCATGGTAATATCACCCAATCTTGCCATATTTCTATGTGCTAAACCATTGAAGCCAGTCCCTGACTTTCAATCCGTCATCATACAATTTTCAAAAATTCTCTTTCCTCTATGTTGTAAAAAAGGTGACGCTGTTAATTATTACCTTTCCAGAGACGTCATCACAGCATCTCAGTGTTCACATGCAGTTTCCACCTCAGCTTTAACAGTGTTTTCACAGTCACAGGTTTTTATTTTCATTTTTAATTTCACTGTAACCCAGCAGGGGGTCTGTATTAGTAAGGCCTCAGAGAGTCGTAGCAGGTTTTAATCTGAAGTGTTGAAAATAATACGTGCCCAACCCTCCTTGGACCCTTTAAAATATCCAGACATAAGAGTCTGAGCCAGGGTACCAGGATGGAAAACAGTGTGATAATCACTACCAGGGGCCCAATTTCTCCCAATATCTGCTCCTTATTTCAGTCTCTTTATTTATTTGGATATAGGCCCTTTAAGTTAAACTTAATTTGAATCTGTTCTGCATCTCTAAGGATTGATTTAGGGCGCACAGCACTTTTGTTTCCACTTGCAAAAATGGCAGTTTGTCATTCAAAGGGAAAAAAAGCATACTTGGTGCATTCGCAAGTGATGGGTGTCTTATCCAAGGCATAACCGTAAATCTTCGCTAATCCAGGGTGCTTCCTGCAAGCGTGAGTGTCACAGTATTCTGTGTCTGTGGTGATCAGATTTATGACCTCACACATGGTGTAGCTGTCAAACAGGAAGCATTTGGCGTACACTGACACACCAAAAGATGCAGAGTAAGCACAGGAGAGATTTGACACACTGGTCATGACATTCAACAGCCCAACATTAAGTTGGAACGAGTTGGAGCAAAAAGTAAAGAGGCATAAAGCAGACAAAAGGCAGAGATTCTCAACTAGGCGTGACCAAATTACCCACTGCCATTTCAATGCTCTCCCTGCTCTCAGACGCAGAACAGATTGAGTTTTAGGTGGCTGTAATTCTTCACAGTTTAGAGGAGGCCTTAATAAAACATGACTCACTGTTCATTTTTTTTCTCATGCAGCAGGACCAGAGGTGATGCACTACATGTCTGAGCTCAGCTAGAACCATGTCGATAAAAGGCGATGACACACGCGTACACACATAAACACACACACATTACATACAAGCTGTGGCAGAGAGTGGGCACATAAGCACCAACTGGAGAGAGCCATGGTGAGCGGGAAAAGGTGTGAGCAGGAAAAGTGGTGTGTGTGGGTGAGTGTGAATATGCGAGAGTGTGCGTGTGTATTTGTAGAGTTTTTGCAGTTGTGACAGCTGGGATGAAGGAGTGGAGG